AATTTGGCATCATCCAACCAGTAAAAAAAGAACAATAGATTATATATAAGCAAAGAAAGATGAAACCCTAAATTAGCACAAAGAATTTTAAATCATGCACAACATGATAGCTTGATTGACATAGTGGTGCAGTCTTGGATTCCATGCAATTTTTTTATTGTATATTATAAATATAATTAATCATGTCTTTAACAAAACAAACATGACTTAACTATTTAATCATTTCCTTGTATGTAAATGCTTCCATCCAACAAATATTCACAATGGTCATGATTATTATTCAATACATTTGATATCATTATTGACATAACAAACAATTGCATCACCCAAGTAGTAATGATACCAAGGCCATGCATAAATGAAACTTTTAATAATGTGTGTCTACCCAGGTCTTAGAGGTTCACAAAATAACTTACTTTGCCTTATTATCAATTGTAGTTCCTTATGAATAATAAATCTGATCTTGACCACAGGTGTCAGATTTAATTAAAACTTTCCTGACACAAACATTGCAAACGGGTGCTTTCACACCATCTCATCCCTATAGAATTTTATCCACAGGCGAGACACTTACAAGTTGAAAGGCTTTGGACAAAAACTTTCCCTTATCTTCCTCTCAGACCAGGCTTGCTGTCACCATATGGGCATTGATCACTGATATCTGGTGCTTGTGTGATGATTGCTTTATGTTATACCTCTCTAGAATAAAGTCGGTGTCTGCACCTGTTTCAAAATTCAACAACTCAGGAGATTGTAACCTGGGTTGCTCTTTTGGATTTTCTCTGGATTCAGAGTTTGAGTCCTGGGTTGCTGTATTGTTTGTGGCACATCTGCTCATCAACAACCCTACCCCTATTCAAAAAATAAATTCAGTTGGTCAAATAAAGATTAAAGAGAAACAGAAAATTTAGAAAAATGATTAATTTATACAAACCATTTTATAACATTTTCTTGTTGGCCATATTGCTGACAAAAATATATATTATAATCATGTGATAATTTTAATCTATAGAACAGGGCAAAAATCCATTCAGTCCCTTACCCAAAATTATAAATTGGTTAACAGAGAATTTAGGAAAGTGATTATACAAAACAAACACTATTTTACTTTCCTCTTAATATCATATCAGTGTCCAAATGCAATTTCAGGGTCACAGACCCTGCTCTGAATTGTGACCTCCTGTGCTGCAGATTCTCATTGCTTTGATGATCTGGATGTTTATGCGCACCTAATATTACAATTCATCAACAGAGTTGCGACCTGGTCACAGAGCCATCCTTACCCTAGAGGTAGGATCGTTCCAGGCTAGCGTGCCAGCAAGCCTTCTCTGGTGAGGGAAGATTAGTGAAAAGCATCCTTGACGATTGATGCAGTCTTGATGTAGCTCCAGAGCAGAGCGACACCCCCCTGGAATTCTGTAGCATCATTGTATCATCGGGCATCGCAAGTCAGATTAGCCTTGTGTACACGAGGAATACGTGCGAGAATGACTGTAAAGTGTTCAAGGCAGTGTGCGTGCTTCAACATCTGCTAATTTCCGATAATCAAACATCGCATATCAAAATGTCTCTTTTTCAACGGTGTGCTGCGTTGACATCTTATAATTATAATAATATTAATATTATTGACAATTACAAAAAGCAAAATACCAATCGTTCATTCGTTATCATCTTGGTGAGGATCTTATAATTACCCCAGCAAGATCTACTCCGCGTTTTGATTTCAATTAAAATATTTATAAACTAAAAATATCAATACAAATAAAAAACAATACCTCTGGTTAGTTGTTAACACGTCTTCTTTATGGGACTCACGTTTTGTCATCATTGAAAAATAAATTGTTTTTCCAAAAAAAAAAATCAATCGCGTCAACGAAAAAAAAATTGTACAACACCAAGTGCCAATAAATAATTAATGTACGCGTTTGTCGATCAAATAAACTCTTTTTCTAAAAATCATGTCATCAAAAATTAATAAGAGAAGAAAAAATCATGATCATGAACATGCGTTGGCTGGGTAAGTATTTATCATAAGGATGATGGTGGTTATCGCCCGCCACTCGTCGTCACTTTAATTATATTATTATATTAGGAATTCTCATTTTTTACCATAAAAATATAGTATCAAAAGGAAAGAGTTTGCATTTTTTGCAAACATACCAGTTGAAATATTTGTCCAAATTTGTGAAGATTTACCACCATCCAGTTTGTTGGCACTGGCAGAAACGTGTTCAAGATTCCATTTTATCTTAATGGATACATGTAATGCAACCCAACAAATTTGGAAAAAAGCAAGATTGGCTTATTTTAAAAGATTGAAACGACCTCCACCACCAAACTGGAATGAATTACAATATATTAGATTCTTCATTGCTTCACCTCAATCCTGCATAGTTTGTGGTGAAATTGAACTTACTACAATATATTGGCAGTTTTATGCAAGATACTGCAATATATGTCATTATAAAAAAACAATTAAGTAATTATATAACATTTAATTAATTGATTAAATAAACATATTTATTTCATTTATCTACATTTATTTATTTAACAATTTCAGAGGAGAGACTATTAAAGCTATTATTAGAAATCTTAAAGAAAAGTCTGCTGCTAGTCATGATGAAGAAAGTAAAAAAAAGCTTAATGATCAAATAGAATTCATGCATGAATGTGAGTCTCGCAATAAAGATTACAGATTGTATATATGGGAATCAGGAGGATTTATTGATAAAATGAATAGACTTGTTGATAAAATTCTTGAGGAGGGGAAATTAACATTAAATTACAAATTGGATCACATTCAAACTAATTTCACTTCATACAAGAGAGCAATCTCCCATCTTTCTGAGGTTGATGAGCAACCTCCAGAAGAGTACTGGAAAAGATTAGAAGATCAAATTATCTATGAAGCAGAAAAACCATGTCAACAGGAGCTTATCTTGAAACACATGTTAAACAAATGGCCTTGTGATGGACACAAGGGACAAGTTGCTGAAGCTTCCCTTGATGATATAGATAATCCATTTAGACACTCCCAAGTAGATCTCTATACAATTCTTCAACACTGCCACAGCTACAGGGATCCACCAGTATGTCAGGGTCGCTACTCTGAAAGATATCTTGAAAAGAAAGTAGTACCAACATTAATTAAAGAAGCAAAAAAACTTAATTTGAATTTCCCTAAGGGCAGTGTTGAAAATTGATTACATTTTTTTATTAATATATATAAAAATAAAACAATAAATATTTTTTTTAACAAAAAAATTTATAATTAATAACAAGTGTTTCTTTTTTTATTATTTGCCCAATGTTCATATGCTATTTTAAAATCAAAATTTTGAATATCTGGTCCATTTAATAAAATCATTAAATGATTATTCAATGTATTAATATTCATTTTGTTTCTCAATTTGTTTTTTATCAACTTCATTTCTGAAAATATTCTTTCTACATGTGCATTAGAAAAAGGTATAAGGAGTGTTATTTTAATAATAATTATTGAATTTGGGTAATTGAAAGAAAAATCATCATTTGTATCTAAAATTTCTTTCCAGGATTGCAAATAAAATTTTAGTGAATTGGAAGAAATTGTATTAACAGTATTCAAAAAAAAAAAATTTTTATTATTAAAGTATTGTTTATTTTTGCATTCAAAAAAAAATAGAATTATAACTGGAATCATCAATGATTTATTGTTAATAAAAAAGGAAAGTAGGAATACCTGAAGACATCAACAATTTATTACAATAAATAGAAATATTATACTTTAGATTTTTTTAAAAAATTTTAAACTTTTTTTAAAACCTTTTTTAACCCTTTTTTTCTATTCATTTCAGACTAAAATTATCCTTTAATATATTATTTACTGTATAATGAAATAAAATCACAGAAGTCGTAGAAATCTTTTTTATTACGATTGTTTTATTTATTGGTTTTTTCTTAAATTCTTTGGCTTTTTTTTGGATCACAGAAGTCGTGGAGGTTATTGAATTCATGGAAATCACAAAAGTCATGAAGTTATAGCAGTTGGTAAAGGTCATGGTAAAAGTCATGAAAATAATGAAGATGCCAATTCTGTTCAAGGTGACCACGCTTCATTTTTCTCAGAAATAATTTTACAAGGTCAATATGAAAAAGAATATAAAACAAAATGAAGAGACAAATAAATAAACATCTAGATACTTCTTTACATGAAGTAAATGATAATTCAAATAATTTTTTTTCCGATGTCTTTTATGGTTACTAATTATTTCGCCTTTTTAAGTGATAATTCTGCAGAAATCATTCACAGCATTATTTGATGACGTACGGCTAAGTTTTTCACTGAACAACAACTGAAAAAGGAGGCACGTTTTATTTTTCAGCATCGAAAGGATATTACTTTTTGACAACATTTCATAGGTTCTATGAAATATCCATATATACCAAAGAAATTGCATATTCTTTCCCGAAAGTGTGCTTTTAGATGTGTTTACGAAGATATATCAAGCACGAAATCAGTATACTTTGATTACTAAAACTTCATCTAATGGTATTAACTCATACAAATTACATTCTTTAGTTTACGAAATAACCGATCGTCACCTTCCAAAGGCTTTATTATTTCTAGAAAACCATCTACAAACATTTTTTGCGATTACATATACAGTCCCTTGAAAAAAGTATCGCTTCACCTGATGATCGACGAAAATAATTGGATAACTTCTGTGATATAAAA